ATGTATTATTTACAAATTCAGATACTTGTACTTGAATAAAACAGGATGTATTATTTACAAATTCAGATACTTGCGAAATGTTTAAACTTGGTCAACAATTTCCTCACCGTGTGTCAAATAATAACAATACTGAAAGACGAAAACAAATGTCATTTCCAGGTATTTTTGTAATACATGCGAGATTTAATGCTTTGAGTGATGCATCATAATATGCATATGAGTGATGCACCACTCAAATGCATATTATGATTCATAATAACAAACATAATTATAATCAACTACTACACAAATCAACAAATCAACATCCAGCTCATAGACTCTGGTAATGAACAGAGGTGAAGAAAAGCAATTGAGATGCTGGACAATGCACTCAGGGCAGGCTCAGTGACTGAACAGCGTCCTCTTAGGCGCACTGCATGGTATTACATAAGCATATACATTGGCACTGCACAAGGTTTGGAGTGAAGTCGCAGCTTACCTTGTCGTCGATGATCACCAGGTCTTTGGGCTCTGTGCGGTCAATCTTTAGAACTCTGTGTTTGGTTTGTGCATGATTGTTCCCAACCAAAAAATACCTCTGGAAAAAAAATAATAATCACGCAATTTGGAGATAATTACACAAGTCTACTTCATGATACATTTATAACTACTTATAAGTGTGTACTTGACTGAAAGCAAATAAATTAAATACAAAAGTTCAAGATAAGTGGCGAGAAAGGTTATCATGTTAGTTAGTTGTTTTAAACAATCACCAACATTTTTCTCCTCAATATCCAACACATATAAGACTGAGTGTCTGTCACATCACACAGAAAAAAGTCATTTAAGGCAAACATACGGTATTTAATCACAAATAGCAACTAATATCAGAGATATATTGGTCCAAAATACACCAAAGCACAGCACATATTTGATCACAAGACTACAATCTAATATTTTCCTTATCAAGCTGAAGCCTTCTTTTCACGCCTCCTTTCTTTCATTGTCATTATTTTTCTCACACATGGTTGCAAAATAGCCCACAACTTTTAGTCCACAAAAAAATGGTGAATTGGAACATTATGTATCGGTACAGTTTGCAACCATCACAACCATTTTGTCCTGTTCCACTCCTCCCAGTATCCTACAGAGCCTTTTTCTTTTCCATAAAAGCTGCAAGGTCCACTGCTAAGTGAGTTATCTAACACATTATAATAATTTGTGTCAAAAGTGTTTCGTAGCATTATGGCTAAGAGTTTTTGTAATCAGCCACACTGATCACACCTTTCATTTTCAAACTTGTGATTGAAGTCTAAACTGCTGATTTTTCTACCTGGATTATCAGGACACACTGAAAGATTGTTTAAAACAAGAAGATTCCTACTGTTCTTGTAGCAATATTAAATCAAATCACTAAAAGAAATATGTAAAACACATTAAGGCCATGCATTTTGGTGAAGTCTAATTGTTAAGACTGTCAAACTTTCACATCACAAAATGCGTTTGATTTTTGCAATCTAACCTTTGCTGCCATCTAGTGTTAGAAGACAAATACTCAAGTCATCACTGCTTTATTTTTTTTATTTTTTTTTTTTGCAGACATCATGGCTTAAATGTTCTTAGAATAATCAGCATCCTACCAATATAAAAAAGAAAAAAAGCCTATTAGGGTGCCTATGATCAATGCTAATTAACTGCTCTAATTTATGCCAATCATGTGCCAATCATACATTTATTTTAGGCACTAATTCAGAATAGCTTTTAACATTCAATACAAAAGAATTACATGTTCACTTAATTCCAAGCCTCGTGAAAACATAAAAGCATATTTTTCTCTTTTGTCATACAAAGGCATTTAGCTCAAGGGATGAATGAAAATGACCTTATTTGCACAGTAAAGTTGTTTTGAAACATTATTTAAATAAGATCGAATGGACTTACTGCTCTGGTTTCATACAGAACCATCCTCTGGATCCCACTGATGATAGCTGCAGCTTGAGGCATTTTACTGACAAAAGTCCCCGACGAGACGACGCAAGAGCTACAAGGTAAATGTAAATATATGTCAATCCGAAACTTTACATTGTAAACACAAAAGAGCGTAATTGCACTCCATTAATTCAAATATTCTTGGAACTCTAGATAAAACTAGCTAATGTACTCACCAGTAGTAACTTTAGCCAGCTAGCTAGCTAGCTGCAACGACGTAAACTGTCGCGCGCGTTTGTAATTAGCATGGCCGCTAGGAGCTAAATGGCTATTTAAATTTTAAGCTTTTAATGTACGGTATATTAAAACAGGCTCATTTAAGTCTGCTTGGTTAGCATTCGGGAACATGTAACATGAATTGACTGTAGTCAGGTGACTGTCATGAACGAGTTATCAGCTGATACGGTGCCTCGCTAAGTCAAAAAAGCTCAGGATTTTTTTTAAAAAGCGCGATTAAAAAAGCACTACTCAGTTTATGTTCTCTTTACATTCCTGTTTCTGGTTTTCTTCATTCAAGGGCGCCTTTAGGTGTTCATTGAAGCTCCATTAAAAAAAAAAAAAAGTGCCCGCGTAAACTTGTAACTTTGTAGGTAAATACCGAGGAGGGAGGAGACAGGCCTCTTGAGTTTGTGAGTTGCTATGGCAACCGTATTCGAATTATGAGGTTACCCTGAAACCAGACCGATGTAACTGATGCTTGTTTACTCTCCGTCTCTTTAATATCGAGTTAATTGGATTAAAATGTAATATTAGAATGCCTATGAGAAATACCGAGTACTTTGGAGTTGTAATTGACGGTTTGAAGTTGATTAGCTGCAGTTCAAGAAAGAAATTGTCAGTTTTGATCGAGTAATGGCTGCCGTTGGACACGCTGAAATGGACGGTCTGGTGGACAATTTAATAGAGGACGAAGCTGAGAGAGACACTCTTCTGGCTAAACCTACCTGCTTCATAATTCTTGGAAAACCGGTAGGACTCCACACTATTAGTTTACAGTGAGTGACTAGTTAAATATAGACTCCCTATCTATTTTGTTACAGGGTATTGGTAAATCCACCTTGGCCAAAACCATATCCAAATCTTGGAAATGTATACTAATTGATGGTAAGTACTTTTTGGAAACTTTTTTTTAATATTGTGCACAGTTAAAGTTCCTTTCAAAATGTTACAGATACTGAAGTGCTCAACATGCACATAAAAAACAAAACAAAGGAAGGCCTAGAGGTGAGTGAAACATGTATCATTTCACAGAAATATGTTCTGCTATGTGTTTTAATGTCTTCATAGTAAAATATACATTTCAGCTCTTGAGCATCTTATCTGAGGGGAAAAGTATACCTGAAGATTTAGTGCTGTCGCTGATTCTTGCCAGGCTCAACGCACCCGATATTGAGCACTATGGTAAATTATGAACGTAATTAATCAGACTTTGACGTACAGAAAACAACCAGTGCATGTTTGAAGAGTTTGATTAGAGATTTGATAACCAGAATGAGTTCAATGGTTTTGTTTGCAAAAACAGCAAAGCAATGTGTCTTTAAAAAGAAAAATATAATATACATTCTGCCAGTTTTATCATTTGCTTTTTGTATACAGGTTATGTTCTGAGCTGCCTGCCATTCATGTCAGAGAAGTCCCTGAAGATCCCTGATCAGATTGAACTGATCAAAAACCTAAAACTATCACCAGATTTCATCATTAATATAAAGGTTATTGTCATATTCTAATATTAAAATTCCAAAAATGCATTTAGTTGTCACAAATGTTTCTGTTTTTTGTATTGCTTTAAGGAAGAAATATACTTTTTTCAGTCAGTTTTTTATAGCAACAGATTTTTTTTTGTGATTAAGAAAGTTATTTCTAAGCTAACCAGTCCCTGTCCTTTGCCAGTGTGCAGGCAAGGACTTGGTCCAAAGGTTGTCTGGTCTGAAGCAGCACCCAGTGACAGGACAGCTGTGTAACAGAGAGGAGTGGACACATGAAGAAGTGTTCATCAAGAAGGAGAAGAACAAGGATCAGGAAGTGAACAAAGAGGAGGAGGAGGAAGAGGAGGAGCAGGTGCTTAGAGTGAAACATCTAACCACAAAGTACCCAAATTCTTCCTACATTTGCTTAAAAAAACACAAATCTTGTGCTGTTCCTTCTGGTTTTATCTGCTCAGAAAAAACTAGCTTAGTACTATATATAGTATGTGTATATGTATGTGTGTGTGTGTTTATATATATATATATAT